GGTTCGAGCTGGATTTCCATGGCACTCAACCGGGTCTAGAGGTGCAAGGTATAATATTGATAACAGAAATGACTGTGGAAATCCTCCGTTTCTGAAACGGATCCGGCTTCTGTTCCACTACCATTCGCTGTGGGCGCGAAATCAGTCGGCACATGAGACATAGAGCTACGGAGCCCTCACGGCGAAGCCGCATGCCATGCGCAGTGCCTGGAACATCCCTACATCCTAACATCTACCTGGATATGTTAGCAGACACTCGCATACTTAGGCACGAACATATAAGGAATAAAGTGTCTTGACGAAATAACTGGTTTATGGTTATTGCAAATCTGGTGATTAAATTTACCCCTCACTTTTGCATGCATTGGGTCGGACATAGGGGTAAACATATCTGGCATCACAAGGACTGTAAATGCATGGAGGCCCTCCGTAGTGCAGGATAAGTCTTCGAAAAAGGCACAAGGTTGGCAAATTTACCCCCCGCTTTTGTACGCATTGGGTCGGAAATAGTGGTAAACATTTCTGGCACCACAAGGACTGTAAATGCACTACGGCGTCCGTGGTGCAGGATAAGTCTTCGAAAAAGGTACAAGGAATAGAGTGTCTTGATGAAATAGCTGGTTTCTTGTTTATCTGGGCAATATAAAATAATTCCTGGGTCGTCGGTTAATTTCGTTAAATTCAAAAACTGAATTTAGTGACGTCGTCGAAATTACGAAATTATGGTGACGTCGTTGTGCCCTAACGCCCCCAGCCAGCCAACACGCTGGCCAGCCAGGGGCGACCAAAGCTGAAGCCACGTGTCCACCTGCGCGCGAGAAGGCTCTGGCTAGTGGAGTCCTCGCTCATAGTAGCAAGGCCAGGAGCCCCTAGTAGAGGGGGAGCCCCTAGTAGAGTCCCCGCTCCGAGTAGTAAGGCCAGGAGCCCCTAGTAGAGTCCTCGCTCCTATAGTAGTAAGGCCAGGAGCCCCTAGTAGAGTCCTCACTCCTAGTAGTGGAAGGCACCAGCAATAAGTTTGGTCGTTCGTACGAAGATCAAGAGCCAGCTCAGCAAGCACAATGGATTTTTGTCAGGGAGGGAAAACCATTTCCTCTGACTGGGTGTTTTCCTCAGCTTGGCTGGCGCATGCAAATTTGACAGCACGCAAAGGAAAGCTAGCCAAAACCAATTTTTCCCAGCGTAGTTTGCCGAGCTACAACCTAATAAAGCCCCAACAATCCACTTTCAAGGCCGCCAGGCCTCAAATCCCAGTTCGGCGAACTAGGCCCGAAATCGTTTTTGGGTACCCTTCTGAAGGAGAGCTTCGTTTCCAGGCCCAGATGGGGAAACCCGACAACTAGCATGAAACAAGTCCCTGTAGTGAAGCAAACTCGTGATAGGATCCCATACTTCACCAATGAGCTCGGCAAACTTTATGGGTTCGACTCCCCTTGCCCCCCTCCTGTTTCCTTTCGTTGGCCCAAAATCTTGCTTCAAGACAAATTTGACAACACGCAAAGGAAAGCTAGCCAAAACCAATTTTTCCCAGCATAGTTTGCCGAGCTACAACCTAATAAAGCCCCAACAATCCACTTTCAAGGCCGCCAGGCCTCAAATCTTAGTTCGGCGAACTAGGCCCAAAAACGATTTGGCCAGGAAAGAAGCAGTCAGGTTGGGGGTGAAAGGGAAAACAACCAAACCATCACTACTTCAAGTTCCAAGGATCTTTTCCGTCCACAAGATCTGGCTGAATGGTCCGTCTCTGAGAGGCTTTGGGGCTAGGGAACACGCTTGGCCGAACGCGGTCCGTAGGTGTTGTTGGGCACTCATCATGGCTGGAGGGCCGCTTCATGGGGGGCACAACTAAAAGAACTTCAAAAACTTCCCGACCTCGAAATTGGGCAGTGTTTTTTAGTGGTGTGGAGAGTGAGCAGGTGAGGCATGACTTCTTATTTTTTTGCAAACTCGAGCCCGAAAACTCAAGCAAAACTCCAACTGACTGACATCCTCTTCCCCATGCAAATCCAGTCCTAGATCCAGTGCCCACGCCCGCCCGCGCCTCCAAAATCTCTGCCAGGACTGTGAAGTCGATGATGTGTGTGTGTGTGTGTGTTTTGCGTGTGTGTGTGTGATGTTAGTATGACCATATACCTTAATTTCAGCTTGCTCGTTAATTTCAGGTGACGTCGGTGACGTCGTTTTATATTGCCTAGTGTTTATGGCAAATCTGGAGGGTAAATTTACCTCCCGCTTGTGCGCGCATTGGGACAAAAATATTGGTAAACTTTTGTTTATATATATATATAACTGTTAGAGAAAGAGGGTGCTTTAGCCAAAGGAAACAGCCTTCAGTTTTTGCGTCGGCTTTGGCTCCAATAGAACAGCTGTCCAATTCTACAAGTAAGGAGCTACCAATACTGCTTCTACTACGACGACTACTCCACACCAGCCACCCAACCACTCAGCCACTCAGGCATGTCTTCCTGTCGGCCACTCAAGCTTTTCTCCGTGTCAGCCACTCAGCCACTCAGACTTTTCTTCATGTCAGCCACTCAGCCACTCAACCACTCAACTCAGGATTTTGTTCCTGTCAGCCACTCAGCCACTCAGGCTTTCTTCGTGTCAGCCACCCAGCCACTCAGGATCTTGAGTGGCTGAGTGGCTGAGTGGCTGCCAGGAAGAACATCCGCATTTCCACGTAAAATCAGAAAACTACCCCCAAAATCGACCATGCTGGTAGTTTAGTAGCGGTTTGAAAGGGCGGTAATTTATATAAAAACACAGGATTTCGGACGCGGTGTTTTTTAATTGGGGAGGCTTTTTTAATAGGTACTCGGGATTATATCGCGCTGCCATGACCTTGAACCCTTCTCTTGCAAGCGAAACCCTGCAGATACGCGCAGTACCCCCGAAGGGCATCGCCGGTTGGGGAAGCCTGTCAGTACATACATGCGTTGCTGTGGAGGCGGAACTGGAGTTTGTGCACGCCAGCCTGTGGGCGCTGGGATAATCTAGGATTCTTGGTGGCATGAAGCAAGAAAAAAAGGAGCGGAGGGAGCGCGAAGTCACAACCAACCATCTCTGATAAATTATAGGAGTTTTGTATATAGAGGTGAATGCCATGGTGCGGGCTTTACCATCAGAGTTTAATAGGTCTGCTATCGTCGCCCGTGCTGTCGTTCAATACTGATGTGATGCTTTCGTTGGACAGTTTGCGGGCACATTGGATGTTGAAGCCACCGCGCAAAGCGAAAGACAGTGGTCTTTGCTGCAGCTGTCTCAGTTCTAAATCAAAAAGGAAAGATTGATTGTCGATGTTTGCCCTTGGGCGACCTGGCCGCTACTCTACTTACAGGAGTGTGCTCGGTAGTGCTAGGGTTAGTACTTTTTCGGGTAGCCGAAGGGTTCGGGTACAGGTGGGAACGAAGAGTTGATCACAGGTGACAGAAACTGTCTAACACAATTAGCAATTGCACCACAAAGCACCGCTGCGGCCAAAATCACAAGGCTAAGTTAAAGAGTCACAAGGCTAAGTTAAAGAGTTGTCAGAAAATCCCGCCCCGCCGCAGATTACCTTTCCTAAAGCCTAACCTAACTATAGTCAACAGGGAATCACCTGATCTTGTTCGCATCGAAACCTGCACATGTCAGCGGCCGAACAATGGAAAAATTGGTCGAACAGGTCGGTTTTCCGTTTTCATCATCAGCGGGTTTCCCTTGCAAATGTCGTCAAATATCTTACAGTATATACCCAGCATTCCTTGCATTTATCTAAACAGTCCACCCACATACACTAGCATTGCAGCATGTCTCCATTGCAAATTGAAGCACCAAGCCGCACCACCCACAGTAATCAGCATAGAAGCTCAGGAGCACCACCTGGAACAGCGGGTGCTAAGTGGATATAGCCACGTGCACTTGGAACAAGAAAGCATAGTTTGGAGTAGTTTGGCAACATCAAGCACAAATCTGTAGGTGCCAAACCATCCGCCCAGCCAGTTCCAATGCAAGTCAACACCAGCGGCTAGCGGTCTTTTTGAGAGTGCTGCAAAAATGATGTCTTTCGGCGCTTTGTAGGGGTGTATTTTGTGTCTCACTTGTAATGAAGCACACCGCAGAGGACCCCTCACAAAATATGTAATGTATATAGCATCTTCTATAAGTTGTTTTGGACAAACCGGACCAATTGAGTTGAGAGAAGGAACTCAAGTGCAACACACACAAGCACATCACCTCGCTGTTGGCCACAAGATCGTCCAAATTGGTGGTGTCAGCCGACACCTCCAGTACTGCCCCATCAGCCTGCCCAAGGAAGTGAACTTCCGTCGCAAGGCCCGAACTAACCGAAAAGCCGGAGGAGACACTGGTTGTTTGAATTCTGTGTCGGAGATAGTTCGCGTCAACTTATTCCAACACCCTTCTTCCTCCTTCTACTTGTTGTTTTTGTGCGCATGTGCGCACGCTTTGCCACTGTTCTGAATAATCTGATACAGTAGACCCACGGTATGTCTGTCTGCCTGAAGGAAAGCAGTTGTGATGAAAGCACAGAGCCATTGCGCAGCTTGGCCACTCATGTTTTCAAGCTGCTGGACCGTTTGATGCTGGCAGGTTTGACAAACATATCGACATAGTGTTAACTGATCTCGCTTCAGCAATGAGTACAACAGGATCGTATGCGTTTGGCTTCGCCTGCTACACTCACAGTAGAGTCAGTAGAGGCTGGCAGTGTAATGAGCTAGGGTGAACTGTAGCAAGTGCTCCATGACTGGGTGGTGTGATGGTTCTGTTCGTTCCGTCACGCATGCCAGATTCATGCCTTCCGCCCTGGTGGTGACATGTAGGTTCAACCATGTCAAGAGCTTACTTGAGTCTCAGCTCCGTGATACATCTGCGCTAGTTCTACTCAATAGACTGAATCGTGTGATTATGGTAGGCTGCAAAGTGCTGTAAGGTCTGGCCGGTCGGCAAATCCTTTGGTTCAACTGCTTCACTACTTTCAAAAACACCTCTCACAATCAATCCTCCTCCAAGCACACTTCAAGCAGGCTCTGCATGAAGGAGCGGCCTTTGGTCAACGACCAAAAAGCGGTCTGTCAAACGCGGAAAAATCACGGATCATTGAGGCTGAACCCGACTACTTTTCTGCGATGCAACGTTGAATGACAGTCTAGGTTGCCGACACTCTGCCGCGCATTTGGAGACCTGTGGTACTTTGCCACTGTGTTCCTGAAGGTGTCGATGCCAAATCACTTGGTAAGTCTCACCGGACAAGGAACATGAAGCGGTCAAGCTGACAGGTAGCAAACGACGGACACCTCTCTCGCCCATCGGGCCAGCAGGGTGCAAGAGATGGTAAGCGTTTCCTGAACGTGGCAGCGCAAATATCATCGCATAAGAGGCTGAGGGCTGCAAGGGCCGACCCAATCAATTTACCAAGCGAAGTTAAAAACATCCTATGTCAAAAGTCCAGACTGAGCAACGCCTGAAGTGCAAAACATTGAAAACATTGAGGCCCCGGCCGCCAGGATTCCCAACGTAGGGCGCCCTGAGCAAGGTCAGCCAAACAGCCCAAATATGCCTGAAAAGCTGGCCCAAAACCCCACAGCAGCAATACAACAACCATGGCCCTGGCGCTCGAGGATCGACTCAATCTGGTGCGGCCCTGGTGGAACATCAAGACTTGATGTGTAATATGGGAGTGGGAGTGTGTATGTGTGTGTGTGTCTGAGAGTCTGAATGTCACGTTGCGTTGAATACTCTCGCCAAACCTGGCGTTGGCGCTGAGGCCACCTGCATAGAATTCAAATGTAAGGATTTGAGCAGGTAGCCGATCGCTTCGGAGCTGTGCGAGCGGCTCGATTGACATGTATACAATGATAAACAACCCTGACTCTTGGCTCAGGGGAAAACAAAAGCAACCCACCTGGCACTCTGGATCAAGCAGCTGCAAAGCCGCGAATGGCACCTTTTCGGCTTGTCTACATAGGTGCCGAAAGCCAAGAGCGGAGCAAATGACAACAAAACAATCCACAAAAATGCTCGGGTTGGCTCCATGAAACGCTCCAAAACCAATGCCGTCAGCTTGCCCCGCCTCTGCATCACGGCTAGCGGAGACCCGAGATTGCCTCAGCGGCGCGAAAAACTGAGAGGGACGACAAATGCTCAGGTTTCAAAACAAAGGAACAGTTTTGTTGTCTCGCTCGCTCGCGTGCGCTCTCTCTCTCTCTATCTATCTATCTATCTATCTGTCTATCTATCTTTTCTCTCCATCTCTTCTTCTCCCGCCCTCTCTATCTTTCTGTTTTGCTGTGTCGCTAATCATGGATGCAGCTGACTATGTATATAAGCAAGAAATGGGTGAGACGCCTGCATTTGGTGCAGGGCTTTGCTGCACCTAAAGTCCTAGGGTAGAACGCACTGTGGAGCAGCATGTTGTGAAAAGACTGATGGCGTGGCATACATTGCTGCCCCTCCAAAGTTGCACTGCTGCAAGGGGTCTGCATGGTCGTGAACACTTTGGAAATAGCGACTGAACACCCAATCACCCTTCTCAAAGGCCGTGAGGCACGCGGCGTTTATCTGATCACAGCTGGAACTACCTCACGGCAACGAAGTTTTACTGTCAATGGCGCAAATATGCACGTGAAGTGTAAACCGTTTTTTGGTAGCGACCTTGTAAACCCCCAAAAGCATGTTTGTTTTCGTGAAGCCACCTGAAAGATGCGCACAGCCCCATTTGATAGCAGTTTCCACCGCAACAGTGGAGGCATTGCGATCTGCCACGCAGCGGGCTCCGTCGCTTCTCGTTAACCAAGGCATCCTGTGTTGCCTGGGCTGCAACTCCCCTGAGTCCCTGTCACGTTGCACTGCTATGCAATGCTCATGTTAGACCTTCCTGCACATGCGCGGGGGGCTTGTCAGTGGAACCAAAAATTGCACATCCTTAAGTCCGAGCTACATGTCTTTGACAACGTTGTCAAATTGGTAGCCAGGCCCTGAGCCATCCATGTATATCTTGGCAAACTCCTTCAAGCCATTGCCATCGACCACATCCAAGCCCAAGTGGGTGGCAACCCGAGCGACAAAACGTTGGAACTTGTCCATATCTTTCAACCCCACAATCAAATTGTAGCCTTAAACTGCAGCCCGTTGACATTGAAGGACTTGAAGTTTTGAAAATTTAGTCGGGGCGATACCATCGCATTCACCAACAAAAGCTGCGCCTTTGGCAGCCAACGCTGCTTTGAAACATCTAAACTCGACATGGCACATGTGCCCACATGCGTGCAAACATGATGCGGCCATACCAAGAAAGAGCCGGGACTGGAGCTTACCATCATGTCAGTGCGACAGCATGATCCGACAACAACATCTGAGCGTGAGACAGCCTGACAGCATGCCGGCGTAACACCATGCCACGATACCCGCGTGACAGCACGTTAGCTTGTCTACACGTCCGGACGCCTGCATTCTGCACATACAGCGCGGAAAAATTATTGCACCGCTTCAGCACATCGGCATGGCAACGCCTCAACAGGCCAGAATGAAAAGCATCAGCACGACAGCACGATGGCAAAGATAGCAGCTAGCATGGCAGAGTGTCTGCCTGTCAAGAATGTTGACATGACAGCGTGCAGCATACAAGCGTGGTAGCCGGCACAGCAATATTTCAACATGACATGACATCAGGCTACCGGGTACCGTGACATGTCAGCCATGCCATTACGCCACGACAATGTCCGCACGGCACACCCGCAAGTCTGCAAAGCGCTTACTTCGGAAATTGCCCGGAAACCACCTCGAAAGAACTCGGCGTACAAGTTCTTATCGTCAGGGTCCTGGGTTGGACCCATAGTGTGAGGCCCCATCTTCGTCAGCTTTTTCTTCCTCGAGTGTTGGATCGAAGACGGACCTCAGCTTGAAGAGCTTGGGTGAGTCTCAGGGCCACCTTTGCTCTTGTGCGGCGGAGATGCACGGTCTTTTTGGGCAGTGGTGGCACGTTCTCAAAAGTTCAAATCTGTTGGTCTACCCAAACGCGGCAAAAAAGATGGCGGCGGAACGGCGGCAATGCGGGAACGAATTCATAGGGTCATCTACAACCATAGGAAATGGCTGCAACGAAAATGAAGCCGGAGCTTGCTCGATTCCTGCACCTGGTGCGCTTGCAACAAATAAAAGAGAGGTCCTTCCTGTACTGTCGGACTGTAGGGTGAAAGCGCTGTACTGACTCGCAGGCTGTCACGACGCACACACGATAGGCGCTTCTTGATGCCAGGTGGGAAAAGCCGACATATCTGGCAGTGACACCGAGCTCTTGTTAGTACCTACTGTGTTCCTGTATACTGGTCCATGAGCAATGTGGCAAAACATTACGGCAAAGAAGGGAACATCCTTCTGAGATGTCCTCAATCCTTTGACCATCAGAATGCTGCGAACTGCGAACTCATATTCAGCTGGTGTTGAAAACCTGCAAAATGGACTTGGACACATGTGAGCTGCGCTTCCGGTCTTAGTGTGAAATGAAAGTTTCTGAAACAACAAGCGTTCGCCACAATCTGTACGGATAGACCTGGACAAGGTGAGTCCCACTTCCCTGTCCTTTGGCCGGCCCTTCAAGATGCTGTTTGTGCAGAAAGCTGCACAATGCACACCGACTAAAAAGAGATCTGATCAAGCACTGGCAGAAAGTTGTGGAGTAACGATGTTGGCTTTAGAATCAGCCTAAGAGAAAGAAAAATCTCTCGCGCCAAAGCAACACATGTCAAAACTGCAATATAAAAAAACCTGCAATTGTTGACCTCAAGCTCAGACTGAAGTTCTGAATGGACTTGTTGTACCATATCTTGGAGGCTGGAGGGCCGTCCAACACAAATAACGTTTTGTTTCTGGCTGCGTTCGTACAACGCAGCGATCATAGGTAACACCTTACGGCCCGTACGGCGTTTCTGTTCGACAGAACCCCAATCATTGAGGTCTCCATGTTAGACCAAGGACCACAGACAGGTTCCGAGACAACAACATCTGGCTGCTGCTCACCAATGACCCTTTTGGTCAGAAACCATTCCTGGATGTGGAAATGTCAACAAAATATACTGTCACTTGGCGTTGTACCTTCACACCACACAGCGCACAACGTTGGCTTTATCTGGCAGAGCCAGAAAAACTCAAGAACGCGAACTTCACCTCGTAGCCCACAGTCCCAATAATAATTGGTATGTGAAGTGGCATCTGCGCTGAAAAACTCCTCAGCATCTTTGTATACGAAATCGGGCCCTGGAACTATTGGCACGCCCTTACCACGAAGTCGCTGAGGAGGAGGACGCTCACGCAGTGGAAGTTCAACTCCCGGCTTCCCAACTGCAAAATAGTATTGACCCTGACCATCCTTGACCAACACCAACCATGAAGCTTTCGTCAGAAAGACCTCGATCTTGGATTTGTCTCCCTAACCATAGAAAACTGCATCGCCAAGGGGCAATCAAGCAATCAACTCATTGGGCATACGGAATCATTGCCCCACTCACGTCTAGGCCCTTGGATATTTCACTTCTGGTCTAAGCTCCTGACTTAGCTGCGATGGCAAATGAACCCAAATGAGCCAAATGGCCGAGATGAGTTCAATCATGAAACATCTTCCTGCGCGCTTCAGAGATGGAGACGCACGACTCCCAAAATGACCAAAATGGTCATTCAATCCAGCCACAGGCATAGCTTTATGTTTCTTGGTCTTTCATCGAGACACGCGCCAGCCAAAAATGGTACCACCCCAGCTGACATCACAAACTTGCTAGACAAATGGCCCTAAGCAAAAAACATGTCAAGCTAAGTGCGCCTTGGCATCCAGACATTTGCGCCGATATATAAACCCGGACAATTCGATGATAAATCCAGATTCCCTGCGCGCTTTGAAGAGAAGTTCGAGATGCGAGCGCCGAATAAGCACCGGAAGAAATCTTTGGCCCACGGCCCTGACACGTATTCCGGAAACATTAAAGGATTTCCCTTGCGCACTTTCGCTCAAGATTCCGCGCCAAAGGTTTCCAACTGTACGTCTTCAAAGCCATGTTCAATATGTCTACACGGCTTTCAAAGCATAGTTGGTCGAAGGAATCGTGATGGTGCTCCCTCCTCTCCAATATGTTTTCCGAGTTGGTCGCACATGTTTAGTTTAAGCAAAGCTTTCTCCAGCAAAATGATCATCTCAACGGGCTTCTTTATGACCTTGCGGCCTTTGCCCTTGTTTTAAGTTTGGTTGGCTGCGCTCTACCATCAACTTTTCTTGCGCGCTTCGCGTCATACAGCCACAGTCTGTACGCATAGGTCGCAAAAACACTGCTGCAAAGACTTTATCAACCACAAGGCCATTTTGCTTTGCCAAGACTCAGGAAGCCCAGGCTCTAAGCCATCTTCAAACCATCTCAATCTTCTGCCCTAAACAATGAGCCAACAAGGTTCCAAGTTTTCGACTATGGAATAGCATACATTTCTGAATTTCCGAAGGAAGGCCAACTGAAATCTCTCAACAACACATCTCATTTATGATCTGAAGAAATGCCCGGACTGTATGCATGAGCATTGCCCAAGGTCCTTCCAAATAAAGACTCTCCAAAGACTCACACGTTTCAGGCCAAAAAGTAAGTTCAACAAAAACACAATCAGCGAAAGGGGAAAACCGTTTTCCAAGAACTGTTGACAAACACTTGCAGGTAAGACCATCAACAGTGAACTGCTAGAGTTTCTCCACAGCACATGTGAACTTTAATAATGCTTCATAAAAGTTTCAAATTTGATACACAAGGGCTGCAAAAGGCAGAGCTTGTCCCGTTCATATACTTACTTTGAATTCTCAACCACTTCCTGGCCCTCTGAACCTGCATGTGTCTCTTCCAAGTTCTTTGTGACTAAAAACTAGAGATCTCTCGGCGCTGTGACAATATTCATGTGGGAACAAGCATGTCAGTCGCTTCACACAGACTCTTGCAGAATCTCAGGCACTGCCTTTTTTGAACTACACAAAGAGAATCAAAAACCAGGGTGGGCCGTTTGCAGATGTTCCTGAGGTCTTGGCCTGGTGCCCCTAAAGGCGATCAGCATGCGTCATGCGTCATATAGCTGCGATACTAAACTAAAGAACTGTAGTCAACACCAGGGATAAACTAACGGCAGCTCATAATGTTTTGAACAGCTGTCTTTACGCAATAGGGAATAGATACCTCAAAACACGCAAAGGCATCTTAAATAGACGTGGCTTATCAAAGACTCTTGGTTGAATACTTCATATTCAAACCATTGCTCCTGAACTTTCTTTGTTATTCTTGATTTTCTGTGTCTTAAAACTTGAAACCATTAGCTTGACTAAATTTATGCAAGTTAGCTATGGCGACCTACCTGATCTGCACATCCCTGGTCCAGAGCCCTGGTCCAGCCCAAAGCCTGTTTTGAACTCATCTCAATCCTCACTGTTGCTTCCGCGGTGCCCCCGAAGCTGATGAAGGTGCGAAAAACTTTTTGCCAAGGCTTGGTCATATTGAAGGAATTGGATTACCCGCTCCTTGCTCTCTATGCACTTTCGCAAGCTTCCTGGCCTCTCCTGCAGATCGGCCCGATAATGGCACAAGACGAAGTGGCACTCCTCCACCCACCTCGAAACTCTCCTCTCTCATTGCGATAGTCACACACGCGTTCAACACAACAAGCGCGAAAGAGTTGCAAGCAAGCGGTCTGCTTTTCTTGAGCGTTGAGCCTTGAGCCAAAGACGTCAGTCATGCACTCAGAGTGTGGGGCCGTACAGTGGTGATAAGCTGTCACAAAGGGAAGCACTCCCTTTTGTATTCAAAAATCAATTCAGAAGGGTGGTGATTTGATAAATCAGTTGTCAAACCCAAACGACCCAACACTTGCTTTGCACGACAACTCAAGGCATCCCTTTGAGGGCTACCTTTCTTGATCAAGCTAAAAAGAACTCAGTGGTTAAAAAGAAAAGCTTTGAACCCCAAAACTAACTCCGGGCAGCCCAGTTGAGAGAGTGGCACTGTATCGGGCTGCGGCAGGCAAAGCTCTGACACATCCGGCGCGTGGCCACCGTAGGCTTCAGCGAGGGCGTCAGGCAGCAGGGCTCCGCCCACCAACTGTGGCCTTCGAGGAGGTTCAGATTCTCTAGCCCGCAGGCCGTAGGTTGTTGCAAGGGGCTCAAGATTCAAACACACATTTCATTCAAAAAACTGTTACGGGCATCCTTGCGCGCGCACAGTTTTCAAGTGGATGTAGGATTCTGCATACGCCATACGCTGCTTCATACTCTTCCTCTCTCATATTTGCGTGATTTCTAGTTTCTGCCTGTCAGAAGCGCCTTTGACCTGCGCATCTCCACTCTTCACACGATTGCTTATTTCATCTTCCTGCTGGAAGATGGAGGTATATATATATATGCCTACCTATCTATCCATCCATCTATGTATATAAGACAAGCTGTCGGGAAACCTAGGCCTTTCGAAATACAGCGCTCGACAATAGGGTGTGTGTGCGTGTGTAAACCGCTACCACAAGCGGATGATCAGAATTGAGCGCGTGAGCATAGAGCATCGAATTTCGAGCGTTCTAACAGCAGGGGGTAGCGACGCCCATTTGATCTGGTGAAGCATTGGGAGACGTCCCGGTTTCTACCGGCGTTTTCAACTAGTGATCAAGCTGTTCACTCCACTCTTCTTACATATCTCGACGGCGTCGTGCATATACCTGCTGACAAGAGGCCGTGAACTTAGGACGTCTGGGGCTATGCCACCTTTCCACCGTTCCTCTAACCAAAATCATTTCACAGTGTGAATAGGGCGACGCCAACTCTGGCGACACCGTCGAGCACCCACGCGCGGTTCTATAGCCGGCAGGGGCCTTCCCCTTTCCAATCAATATGTACCCCCGTCAAGGGCACGTTGAATCCAGATCTCCCGTCGGGGAGTTCCGAGCTGCTATCGGGCACAAACTCGCGGTTCTTACGAGCCGTTGTAGAGCCAGCCTCGAGCGCAGCTGCCAGCGGCGAAGTTAACTAAAAGAGAGCGAACCCCCACGGAAGAATTTTCCGCCCAGTGAGCTACGGGAAGCTGCGCAGTCCCTGCCTTCAGAATCAAACTACAGTAGTTCCAACCTTCTATGAGTAGCGGGCCCTCCTTGTTCCCGGGCCTCTTGCGCAGTGCAGCTTTATCGATTCTGTTCAACTTATTCTCCTCAATTCGGCTCCAGATTACTTCGATTCGCAATTTCCAGGTTCAATCATGCCAGATGCCGTTCACTCCAACAGTAACAGTTGTCATACCAGCACACCACGTCAACACCACGAGTTCGCCCAAAATCACACCCTCCACAACCTTCTTGGGCTCTTGATCAACCGGGCCCAGTTGGGTTGATAACCAATCGTGGATTCTCGGATGAGCTTTAACTATTTGTACGATGAACTCCTATCCACCAAAGATGGTTTGGAACATACTCGAACACTCTACGCCCTGTGCGTCTAAGGCCCCTGCAATCCGAAGGAACCACCAGCAGCGTCGACGCCCAGTTTACGTGGGCTTTGACGCATGCTTCCATGTTCAGAATGACCCCCCCTTAGGATGTGATCAGGACATATTGTCCTGTCTGCGTAACCTAGTGGCCATTACGTTTCTCACGCATTCCCTGCCGCGACTTTGCCTAGGCTCATTTTTTCTGAGTCATCAACCTGACATTTGTTGCACTCGCTGATTGCATGATCGAGTCATATACATCCAGAGCGTTGCCTTGTATCATGTTGCTTTTCGCACACGCGCTTGCGAGTTTGACGACAAAACTGCGCCCTCCTCAGCGAGGGCCATGTGTGTGTAAACCGCTATCACAAGCGGATGATCAGACTTGAGCGCGTGAACATAGAGCATCGAACTTCGAGCGTTCTAACAGCAGGGGGTAGTGGCAGATGATTTGGGACCGCTACCAACGAAAACGCCCATTTGATCTGGCGAACCTCCAAGTGCAGATTTCGTGGCAGGCACAGCACTTCGTGAACTTCCAAAGTGCAGATTTCGTGGCAGGCACAGCACTTGTTGAACCTCGAACCTCGAAGCACAGAATTGGTGGCAGCCACAGCACTTTGCGAAGCTGGATGCGCAGATTTCGTGGCAAGCACAGCCCAGCACTTTCTGAACCTGGACAGCCTGGAAGTGCAGATTTCAGGGCAGGCGCAGCACTTTGTGAACCTGGAAGTGCAGATTTCGTGGCAGGCACAGCACTTTGTGAACCTGGAAGTGCAGATTTC